CCCAAGAGGGCTTACAATACGCCCTACCACGAGTTCCGATACCTAGTGTTCAAGGAGGTAACAGAAAGTAATCACAAGATGTAAGCCTAAAATGATCGAGAATATTCCAGTGTACTTTTTCGGAACCACTGAACTCTCTCAAGGTACAGGAAGGTATGTATGTATGTATGTACAAGGTACTCAACAAGGTATGTCGGATATTTAATATTCGTCGCAGAATATAGGCCCTTTTTCATCAAAATAGGATGTTACAAATGATGATTGATAATGTTTTAAAGATTTTTAGATTTTATTATTGTACTATTAGATATTTCGTTAGTTTGATTAATCTCTCAATATTACACTTCTTGTCTCCCGATAAAGAAGAGATTTCACGATGCCGCGTCCGCGGGACACACATCAAATTTCCTGACAGAGTACAACCCGCTCGTCATTAATTGTAAAGACATCAAAAATGGGAGCCATCATGTATGTATCATCACTTGTCTGTTTCGTGAACGACTCTTATCTTTAAAGCCCCTTGAGCATATCGCGTAATAAAAACCAAACCCGCAAATAATCTGAATAACTACTGGTGGTAGGACCTCTTGTGAGACCGCGCGGGTAGGCATCACCGCCTTGCCTATTTCTGCCGTGAAGCAGTAATGCGTTTCGGTTTGAAGGGTGGGGCAGCCGTTGTAACTATACTGAGATCTTAGAACTTATATCTCAAGGTGGGTGGCACATTTACGTTGTAGATTTCCATGGGCTACAGTAACCACTTAACACCAGGTGGGCTGTGAGCTCGTCCAACCATCTAAGCAATAAAAAATAAATAAATAAAAATATCTTTAAAACACATAGCGCATATTTCGTAGTTGAACAGTAACCTTTAAAGTCAGACGCACATAAACATTTACGAATGGAAATATCCGAAACGTGCGTCGCGTCGCCGCGCGTACCTATATCCTTCCGAAATGTATTTACAATGACAAATCTTTAGAACCAAAGCTACCTACGATGTCATTAGCCTAAACATGAGCAGTTCAAAGCGTGAAAGAAATACGTACTTAACAATAATCACGCACGAATGACTTCCACAGTGATGGAATAACATCGTGTTATATTAATTGAAAATTTATTTGTATTTGTATTGTGGAGTAAATAAATGCAATTATTATTATTATTGTTGTTATAATAGAAATCAAACCCGGAATTAATTTGAATAACTACTGGTGGTAGGACGTCTTGTGAGCCGTTTTAGTTTCGGTTTGAAGGCTGGGGCAGCCGTTGTACTATAAAACTGAGATTTTGAAGTCGTCGTGGCCTAAAAGATAAGACGTCCGGAGCATTCGTGTTGAAGCGATGCACCGGTGTTCGAATCCCGCAGGCGGGTACTAATTTTTCTAATGAAATACGTACTCAACAAATGTTCACGATTGACTTCCACGGTGAAGGAATAACATCGTGTAATAAAAATCAAACCCGCAAAATTATAATTTGCGTAATTACTGGTGGTAGGAACTGTTGTGAGTCCGCGCGGGTAAGTACCACCGCCCTGCCTATTTCTGCCGTGAAGCAGTAATGCGTTTCGGTTTGAAGGGTGGGGCAGCCGTTGTAACTATACTGAGACCTTACAACTTGTATCTCAAGGTGGGTGGCGCATTTACGTTATAGATGTCTATGGGCTCCGGTAATCACTTAACACCAGGTGGGCTGTGAGCTCGTCCAACCATCAAAGCAATAAAAAAAAAAAAAACAGAACTCAACCCTCAAGGTGAAAGGCTGCATTTATGTTGCTGCTGTTTATAGGCTTCGGTGTCCACTTAACACCATGTGAGCCGTGCTCTCGTCCATATCGTTTGCAAAAAATTGTAGAATGTAATCTCTTCAGTTTTCGCGAGTTCAATTGTCCGATAATTATCTCGCACAGGAATGGCAATAATTAAGTTAAATAATACATGTGGTTTAAAAACAAAAAAAAAACGGTTAAATAGTTTTTTTACCCTGGTTGATCCTGGTCAGGATATCAGAGCGAACTAACAAAATTATTGTATTGTCTGTAGATACCAGAGTATTTCAGTATTGACTACGGGCACAACACTTGCACTGCATCTAACATACGGTCAGGTTGAATGCTGCCGACCAGAGCGGGATTCCCACTTCTGCTGTAGCGAGTGTCTATAGTTTAGCCGCAGTAAGGAACCGATAATCTATACTTATCTATACTAATATTATAATATAATATAATAATATTATAAAGAGGAAAGATTTGTTTGTTTGTTTGTTTCGAATAGGCTCCGAAACTACTGGACCGATTTGAAAAATTATTTTTCCATTAGAAGCCGACATTGTCCCTGATGAACATAGGCTACTTTTTTAAAAAAAAAAATTGTTTTATTTTTTCATGTGTGTTTTAATGTTTCCGAAGCGAAGCGAGGGCGGGTCGCTAGTAATATTATAAAGCTGAAGAGTTTAGTTGTTTGAACGCGCTAATCTCAGAAACTACTGGTCCAATTTGAAAAATTCTTTCACTGTTAATAAATAGCCCATTTATTGAGGAAGGCTATATAACATCACTTGGCACCTTAAATAGCTCCTAAACATTCTTTTATTCAAAAATATTTTCACTTTCTACGTAAATGAAGTCGCGGGTAAAATTTAGCGTTACGCCAAAGTAACTATTCCACGCGGACGAAGTCGCGGGCAAAAGCTAGTTATTCATAAAAACGTAAGGATCACAACCAATAGAGTCGAAAGTCCCTCCGAGTTTCTTATCTCAGGAGAGTGCGCTCCGAATGGGACAGATGATTAGCGATGAATCTTCAGACTTTCCTAGGGCAATAAGACGGCCATAGAATTAACTACCGTGGCGGCCCAAGACTGTACCTACTGTGAGCGTTGCGTTGCCACGGTCAGGGCTACCCAGCCCTTGATTTAGAAGGCATATTTTATGCAATTTTTTTAATTCAATACAATACAACTGTTAGGCACTGTAGCGCCGAATTCGTGCGCCTTTTACACATACATAATATACAAGGAATTTAAGCTAAGTACACCCGGCTTTTTCATAATACAATGCTGTATGTTTTCCTTCTCTGCACATAATATCGGTTTTATTGTTATTTAAAACCGTAATATTATTTATGGTCATTATTATTGGGGAGTCCAACACTCATATAAATATTAAGTACATGTATTTTCTACATGGATACCAAGTTTCAAGTCAATCGGATGCACGGTTCAGTAGTATAGATTAATAAGACAACTCCATTTAGCCAAGAAATGGCCAACTCTCTCAGTTGGCGGCCGACCCACAGCGGAGCCCTGACGACTACAATAAAATCACCAAAAGCCCGGTCGGTATTCACGCGAGCACGACCCGATACTAAATCCTGTTTACGAAGTGTTATTATTGAAAATTTCTTTGTGCAGCGGTTTAGAGCACGGAATATTTACACAATTTATTCCTGTGAGTTTTTGATTTTTATTACACGATGTTATTCCTTCACAGTGGACGTCAATCGTGAACATTTGTTGAGTACGTATTTCATTAGAAAAATTGGTACCCGCCTGCGGGATTCGAACACCGTTGCATCGCTCGACACAAATGCGCCGGGCGTCTTATCCTTCAGGGCGCGACGACTTCTTAAATTAAAAAAATGCGTCTTATCCTTCAGGGCGCGACGACTTCTTAAATTAAAAAAATGGTTGTCAATGCAATAGTAACAGTATAAATATTGAAAGCTCAATAAAATTAAATATTGTGGTAAGAAACCCTCAAATAAAAGTATTAGTAAAAGTATAGGTATCATCTTCTTCATGGTTTTTTTTATTTTTATTTCTTACATGGGTGGACGAGCTCACAGCCCACCTGGTGTTAAGTGGCTACTGGAGCCCATAGACATCTACAACGTAAATGCGCCACCCACCTTGAGATATAAGTTCTAAGGTCTCAGTATAGTTACAACGGCTGCCCCACCCTTCAAACCGAAACGCATTACTGCTTCACGGCAGAAATAGGCAGGGCGCTGGTACCTACCCGCGCCGACTTACAAGAGGTCATACGGTTCATACCACCAGTAATTACGCAAATTATAATTTTGCGGGTTTGATTTTTATTACACGATGTTATTCCTTCACCGTACAAGTCAATCGTGAACATTTGTTGAGTACGTATTTCATTAGAAAAGTTGGTACCCGCCTGCGGGATTCGAACGCCGGTGCATCGCTCGACACGAATGCACCGGACGTCTTATCCTTCGGGCCACGACGACTTCAAGTCGTTGCAATTTTAGTTGCATTAATTTATAAAATACATATTTATAATTTTATCTCATAAAATCTCATATATCGCGATCACATATTAAAAGTTAATACTTTTGTTTTTTCAGCCATTAATTATTGTCGAGTGTGTGTTACAATAGGTATCCCGTCCGTATGTTGTTGGAATAGCCCCTTATACTACCAGCAAATAGGCAGGTAAAAGAATTTAATAAAGTATACGAGACGTTGGATAAGTATAATTATGTATGTGGTAATACTAGTACAAAATTATAAAGTTAAATCAGAAAAATCCAAAGGATCGAATAAAATTATCCTTAATGCGAGTTATCCAGAGAAAAAAACAGAATAATTAAAAATAACAAAACTTAACTTTTGATCGTAAAAAGGAAAGTAATATTGAAGAAGACATATTTTCTATTAAAAGTTTATAACTTTAGTCCAAAAGTAATAAATATACCGCGCCCAAGCCGTACACATCCTCATAAATTTTATTAACAACCGCTCTAAAAGCGTCAGAGAGACATAAATACTTACTAAACTTAAATTAGGTAGATTTGCAAGATAGTAAATAAAACGCTTCAGAAACTAAATCCAAATGTAAATAATTTCCTTATTTTAAATGACTTAAGCCAAAGTTCTCGAATATTTTAACTTGGCATGTGCAGGCAAGCTCACAGTTACTTGAAGACAATGGATCGATAATAAATGCCGTATTTTACATGAAAGGAGCCTACCTTGAACGTATGTAAACAAATGTAGCGACAGCCACAAGAATATCCAGTTTCTCACGCCGTAAGCTACGATCCCTGTCCGAAACATGGTTCAAACCAATAGAAGACCACTGCACTAGAGGTTTTAATTCATAACTATCACATTTTCATATAAAATCAAAAATTTTTATGATAAAGTTCACAGATAACGAATTCGGAGCGATACTACGCGATCCGCCATTTTCATGTCCACTTACATTCAGAAACAATTCGATATTGAAAGGGCATTGCCCGGGACGAAACGGAGCGCCCTGAAGTTAGTACACTTCGTTGATTTCTGTCAAACGAGAAATGGAATTGGCAATGGAAATTCTGACATACAAGATGAAATTCGAAATCGCTAGGAGACAAAACATTTAAAAAATAAATATAATTCATGCCAACCAAAAATACGTATAATCCTTTTATCATTCGTTACATACAATTGGTAGTTCCACAAATAAAGATGTAAATTCAGATCCGAGCAATAATAAAACGTTATTGTCATTTTGACATTTTTTGAAAATTGACGTGATAGGTATCAACAAATAAAGTTCTCGCAATCTTAATAACTTCAAATTTCCAACCTGTTGTTCATACGTATTTTAATAAACATTAAACATTTCATTCACAAATCGCTAACCGCAGTCCGCGGTAGTTTATAATGGAGCTAATATACTCTATGAGACGCAAGCCACTTAAATGTGAACCTCCGCACTTTGAAAAGTAAATAGTTTTAAATTTATATCTAAAGTTTATATTTCTATCCAAATTTACTAAAGTTTACAAATTCTTCTTCTTCTTGCTTCGGTTTCCTCAATACTGAGAGTCGTGACCATCTCCTCGCAACAAGAGCTTACAAATTAAGATATCTTTAACAGCAGTAACATCAACTTACTTTTTAAGTTACCGTTGTTCATGATGCCTCCCATCATAAGAAAACACTAAGGATAAAAATAACAAATTAAGGAGAAAAGTAATAGGAGACTGCTCAGCTCATGGATGTATATTATAAAAAGAGCTGACTTTGTCACATCTACATAAAATTCAAGTATTTTAAAATAGTCCCATGTGTTTTGTGTTTGTAAAACATTATTTCTGTTTCTTGGTGCTACATAAACTTAATGCTTAATAATGTTGTCTATTTCTAGTGTAAAAGACTCTGAAGTAGTCCGACCAATTTGTACAATATCATGTGCAAATATCATAGCATTCTCATCACCGACAGAGCTTAGTGATGTGGACGGAGCAACATGGGGAGGTCATGTGTATGTATGTGACTTAGATACCCCATGGAACAGTCACAAAGTTACAAGTACAGCTTATCCGGTAAGTGTGAAATAGTAAAAGTTCAATGAAACTATATGTTATATATTAGTTATTCAAGAGGTATAATTTTACAACCTAATGAGCTCTTTATGTATTAGCACTATTAATGAGTTTCCATATCAAATAGTAGACTAGAACCCTAAGTGGCCAGGTTTTGTTCGCATAAGTGAACAGACCAGCTCACTCACCAAGAGTTAAACAATTACGGGAGATGATAAACAGTGTGAGATGATCGTCATTGCCTACCATCATTATGTTGGAGAAATATTCAGTGAGACTCTTTAAACCTTACACACATCTACATTAATGCTATCAAATGTCAATCTGTTCATATTATCAATATTTTAGGATCTACAGTAATTGATTTCACTGTGGTTATGATATGATTTACTCATGATTTACAGATATGATTTACTCATATTTGTAACTTCTTCATAACTTAGTATTTGTGATGATATATGCTTCTTACTTATACTTGATATCCACATCAACAATTTCAATTATTTAACAAAATGATCTAAAAACTAGTTTATATCAGTTATTCTCAACCCCTGTGCTGCCAAAATTTTGAAGTTTGCTGTCAAATTTTATACTCAAATGATGACCATACTATTTTATACGGTCTATAGGTTCGGAAAAATACATTAAGCTATCTAAAAGTTTGTATGGAAATACTCTTACAACTTTGTTTCTTTATGCAACTATGTTCTAATAAAATAAATGGATACAAATTCCAGGTGTCAGCTCTAGAGTGGGACCTGGAAGGCAAACAGTTATTAGTAGCCACTACAGTGGGTGATGTGTCTGTCTATGGACAGAAAGACTTCCTCCTCAATGATTGGACATGTCTTTACAGTGCTAACTTCCCTGGTAAGATACATATTTAACTACCAAAGTACAAAACTAGTTATTTTAGTAAAATTGTTTATCTTAAAGCATTACGACTACTGCCACTTCTCTGATGTTGTCGTACACTAAAGGCATTGCTATTTCAAATTCTTTAATGTCATTTTGAGTCAACTTTTTTAATTGATTTATGCATAGTGGTTGTTTGTGGTACCTAAGAACAAATAAGATCAGATGGCTATCTAAGTGCAAACTTAATTCAGCACTTTTTTAAACGCTTAGATAGTCAACATTTTCATATTCTGGTACTACGCCCTGCCTGTTCTATCATGAGACATAATGTAGCTCCAATTGATGTTTGGGATAGCTGTCACTGCAACATGACTCTGGTCTCACGTCTCATGATGGTTGGCGGCTTTTAAAAATATTTCTTTGAATAGATAAGTTATAAACATGTCATAAAGATTCTTTTCAAGGCCATATCAATAAAGATGTTTTCTTGTTTTTATTTTTCATTTCTGTCAATAAATGACAAAATATTTCAGGAGAACACATAATCCAAGGGGCCTTTTTCCACAATGGACGTCGTGTGGTGGCTGTGGATAAAAAATCAGATGCGGTTATCCCTGAAAAAATACAAATGCTTCGGTTCTCCCCTACTCTCAAGGGATTTGGGTGAGTGTATCGGGAGCTTGTGTGCAATCTCTCAGTAGGTGCAAAACAGGCTGCAGAGCTAGTTATTGTTTCTGACAATTAACCTAATTATAAAGATAAAGAAACCTTTTTTTGTTTTAAATATGAATTTGGCTCCAACGCCTTTGGCATTGATTTTGCCAATGTCAAAGTATCTGTCTATCTGTGATTCGAAGAGTAGCACAAACAAATATATGTTAGACTAACTACTTTAAAGATAATATTATTATTAGCAGATAAAAATTTACACAGAATATTTACATGTTCAGAATAGACTAAAGTTAATAAAGTATTAATATTAATAGGCCGGGGAATGTCATTTGGAAGGATATCATAAAGAGGGAATACGATTTTGGGGCAGTCGAAGAAAATGTGATCCAGGGTATCCTCATCTAATCCACACTCACATAGAGAATGGTCATGGACTCTAATTTTGGCAAGAAAAACAGGGTAGAAAACATGGCAAAGTCTAAGACGGATTATATCTGAGACAATTTTTTTAGGGAGACGGCAGTGGGAGGAAAGCCTAGGCTTAGAGGGCAGGGTCGGTTGCAAAAAGAAGCCTTTATTAATTCATATTTAGGTACATATTATTAATGTAATTTGTCGCGGTCGTGACATTTCCTCTTTCGCATAGGGACTGCAACTGCCTTTATGTTCTCTACCCACTTTTAGAACGGTAGTCCTTATTAGTTACTGATTTAACCCATTTTTCTGTTTTGCGTCTTATTAGATTTATCCAATTATCCAAGACTAGCTTTTGCCCGCGACATCGTCCGCGTGGAATAGTTCACAAATAATGGTTTATTAGAACAAGTTTGGTTATCATAAAAAACGTTATAGTGAGCCAACCTTAATATATAGACATATGCTGTCGCGGACTTTTTTTTAGATCTTTTAAAGGGGAACAATTCTGTCATACATTATTTTAGCGAAACTTTAACTGTTTCCGCAGCGCACGCAACGGAAGCTCTCAAAAGGGAATAAACTCCGATTTTGGAATATTCTTTATTGGTGCTCCGCTTGTATTGGTCTTAGCATGATGTTATATAGCCTATAGCCTTCCTCGATAAATGGGCTATCTAACACTGAAAGAATTTTTCAAATCGGACCAGTATTTCCTGAGATTAGCGTGTTCAAACAAACAAACTCTTCAGCTTTATAATATTATTAGTATAGATTATTTCAATTAAAGAATATTAATAACGTTGTTGGGACCGACAGCGGCGTAGCTTGCGAGGGCGTGCTGGTGGTCACAGCCAGCGGTCTCATCTGTGTGGCAGTGTCCCCGGGCGGAGACTCGAGGACCGCGCTGGTGGCCACCGAAGGCCTTCGCCCCCACAGGGATCACGTCACCGCCGCTGCTATTTGTTATAAAGGTATTGTTAATCGCTTCCATTTCAAGGTATTGTTAATTGTATTATCAATCTATCAATTTTAATGTTTTCCTCCAATGGGCTTAGTGGGTAGTTTTTAATTGTGGTTGTCCTTCCTTTTCTTTATGTAATAAGGCTGATTCCGTATTCGTTGACTGACGTTATGTTTCAAAACCAAAATAATTTGGGCACAATTGAATAAATTGATTAGAAAAGTCGTCGTGGCCTAAAGGATAAGACGTCGGATGCATTCGTATGTAGCGATGCACCGGTGTTCGAATCCCGCAGGCGGGTATCAATTTTTCTAATGAAATACGTACTTAACAAATGTTCACGATTGACTTCCACGGTGAAGGAATAACATCGTGTAATAAAAATGAAACCCGCAAAATTATAATTTGCGTAATTACTGGTGGTAGGACTCTTATGAGTCCGCACGGATAGGTACCACCGCCCTGCTCATTTTTGCCGTGAAGCAGTAATGCGTTTCGGTTTGAAGGGTGGAGCAGCCGTTGTAACTATACCGAGATCTTAGAACTTATATCTCAAGGTGGGTGGCACATTTACGTTGTAGATGTCCATGGGCTCCACTAACCACTTAACACCAGGTGAGCTGTGAGCTCGTCCACCTACATAAGCAATAAAAAAATTACCCCTTATCTCGCGAAGCGCGTGCGTGTGACAGTAGTAGTTGTACTGTGGACGTTCAAATCAAGGACAAATTCTGTTTCTGAAGACGAAATAACAAAGGGTTGGAAGTTTTATTTTATTTGATTGGTTTTGTTAATTTTAAGTATGATTCAATGATACTATGTACACATATGGATTTGTTGCTGTCTGAAATAAAATAAATCATTCATTCATTCATTCATTCATTCGTTCATTAATTCATTCATTGAACCTAAATAACTGGACGGGAACACGGTGGGCAGGTGGCAGCCCCGTGGTGGCGCTGTGCTGCGCGGACGGCTGCGTGCGCTGCGCCGCCGTCACCGTCACCCGCGCGCCCCCCGCCGCCCCCGCGCTCGCCCTGCAGCCGCTGCCGGCCATCCACCTGCTGCACGAGGACCCGCCCGGTAACCCCTCGCCGTCCGTGTGTGTAGCACTGGAGTCCCGGGTGCAATGCGGGCTCACGTACACGCTCCGTGTCCGCAGCTGCCGTGGCCTGGAGCTGCCGCGAGGACTCGGACTGCCTGCTGCTGGCGGGCGCCGCGCTGTCGCTGTGGAAGTGCAGCGAGCGGGCGCACCCCGTGCACAAGGTGTTCGCGAAGGGTGAGTGGCCCCCCGGTGGCCCCCCTGGTGGCCCCCCTGGCGATACAGCAGTTCCCTTATAGTTATCCAATAACTGACCAGAACCACCAGGGTTCCTTGTTATACGTGTTTTTTAAGTTTAAAAACTATATTTTAATTTTAACGAATTTTAACGAAAGTGCACATGAGTGACCCGCGGGCCGACACCTCTCAAACGACTCGTCTTTTAAAGGTAACCTGCAGAGCAACCCCACCGCGGGGGGCGGACAGAAGGCGGCCGCGGACTGCTTCAACACCCTGGTGAGTGCGGCCACCTCGCCCCGGATGCATTGCCAAGTATGATCGGGCGGGGTCCAGTGTCCACGTGTGCCCGCAGGTGTGGCAGCGTACGGCCGTGCTGCAGCAGGAGGGGGGCCGCGCCGTGTCCGTGTGCGGGGCGCGCTTACCGCAGTCCGTGCCCGCCGTGCTGCTGGCCACGCCGCACTCCGTGCACTACAAGCCCAAGGACAGTCACGTGGCGGTACGTTGCGTCAACCTGTTGTGTATATAACTCCCGCTTAGTGCTGTTTATCTTCAGGATATTTCCTTTATTGTACACACATTAATCATCTCATCTCTCATCATCTGTTGGTAGTTGATCAGCAGGCCGGTGACGAGCCACGGCGCGGCGGACGCGCAGGCCGGGGGCGCCACTCCGCCCAAGAACACTAAATACGGCCCGGGGGTCGCGCCGGTGAGTGCTCCTGCCCGGTGCGACGGAGGGGGGACAGGTGGGGGGGCGGTCCTGAGTGTCCCTACTGTTGCAGGGGGGGGCGCGGTGCGCGCTGGTGTCGTGCGCGGCGGTGAGCGCGCAGGGCGGCGCGGCGGTGCTGGTGGACACGCACGGACAGCTGCACGTGTACCGCCTGCCGCAGGTGTGGCCCGACCTGCTGCGTGAGTGTCCCCCTTCACACTACTATTACTTTCGATAGAAACTCACAAATCATATCTTTTTAGTTAATATCTTATTGCACAGACGGATCGGTGACCTCGCGCTCACCCAGGGCTTAGTGCGTACCGGGCCCATGGACATCACCGCCCGCCCTGTGACGTGAGGCTTTCCTTTCGGTGGTACAGTAGGCGGCTGTCACACTCTTCAAGCAGCTTGCAGTACCACACACCGCTAGTAAAAGTGGTAATTGTTATTACAAAAAATGTCTTTAAATTGACCCATTGTTTTAATTAATCGAGGTAAACAAATACTAGGAGTGTGAGTGTGTCGGCGGGCGTGTTGCAGTGACCAACCCGGCGCTGTCGGTGCAGCTGGCGGTGAGCGCGCTGGAGTACGCGGCGGTGGCCGGCTGCGACTGTCTCGACGTGCTCCTGGCGCTGCGCCCCGGCGCCGCCGAGACCGTCTACGAGAGGTAGCGCTACCACACTATCGCACTGGGGGGCCGCTCCCTACTGCCGCACTGGGGGGCCGCACCCTACTGTCGCACTGGGGGGCCGCACCCTACTGTCGCACTGGGGGGCCGCACCCTGCTGTCGCACTGGGGGGCCGCACCCTACTGTCGCACTGGGGGGCCGCACCCTACTGTCGCACTGGGGGGCCGCACCGTACTGTCACACTGAGGGGCTCCACCCCACTGTCACACCGGGGGCCGGGGTCCGCTCCACCTGCTCGTTGTGTCCGCAGGTTCACGGAGTCGTTCCAGAGACAGCCGCCGGCGGTGCAGCAGTACTACCAGCAGAGCGCGCTCAAGCTGAGGATAGCTCTGTGCAGGTAGGGGGGGAGGGGACACCGCCTCCGCGGCTGCTCTTTAAACAACTTCACGTCGCGGCCCGCAACCTATCGCAAAATTAATTTTTACGTCAAACTTGGGGTCAGTGAATCCGGCGTCCAATTAAACGCAGTCGCCCTGGGACTGCGACGCACGTGAGGATCTATAAGAACAGTTGTGACGACGCCGCCCGCCTGCAGGTGCACCCTCACTAACATCAGTGCGTGGGCGGGACGGCGGGTGTGCTTGTGCGGGCGGGCGTAATTATAAAGCTAATGTCATTAAAAGTAGTCACCGACTGATTACGAGACTTGAGATTTAACACGAGTTTGTATAAGGGCAGGCTGTCGGCCCGGCTGACGGGCAGCGGCGCCTGGCTGACGTGTCTGCAGACGTGCGAGGTCGTGTGGGCGGCCGCCTCCGCCGCGCTCAAGCTGGAGGAGCGGCCCGACGGCGACTGCGAAGAGAACCACATCGAGCAGGATAAGGTGGGTGGACCGGACGACACCTGTCTTGTCGTGTCCCGATGTCCGTGGACTACACGGAGCTGGTTTGTCGTTACAGTTGATAGCGTCGCTAGAAGCGAAGGCGGAGGCGGGCGCGGAGCTGGCGGCGCTGCGCGTGTCGGTGCAGCGGGTGGGCGACATCGCCGTCACCGCGCTGCTGTCCCTGTCGCAGCAGCCGCACCACCAGTCGCACGGGTGAGCCGCCGACACTCCGCTAACATTTAATAACATTAAACCACATTAAATTTACGCTACATCTTATAGTGGGCGGCCGCGGATCCCTTGAACATCACGTGAGTCCGTCCCGCTCATCGAGCCCAACAAACACATACGACAACTGGGGTAGTACAGTTGTCGGGAGGGACTCAGAGCGGTGTTTGTGGCAGGTACGAGCTGTGGTCGGACAACGGCGCGGTGTGGCTGCTGCGCAGGGTGCTGGCGCTGTCCCGGGGCACCGGCCGGCCGCACGATGCCGCCGCGCGCTGCCTGGCCCGCCTCGCCGCCGCCGCGCCCGCGCTCAAGCAGGACCTGCTCGGTACCACGCACGCACACATACACGCACACACGCACGCGCCTTTACTAGTTCTGAGTCGCGATACCACAAATTAACTCTACCACAATCTGAGCGACATGCAAAAATACATTAATCATAATATATCGTCATATTTGTCCCGCACAAGCTGTCCCCCCGGCACCGCCGCGGAGCAGTCGACTGAAAGCTCGGAGCGTATCCAGGGAGTCTGTCACCGTCCGACCCCCTCACGCAAGGGGGGCCGGCGGCAGCGCGGGGGACAGGGGGGCTCGAACCGCTAGACGAGCGTGGACCGTTGATGATGATGACCATATAAGTTTTTGTTTTTATGTAATAGAGGAGTGCGCGTCGCTGGTGGCTCAATGTCCGGGGCCGCGCGTGTGGGAGGCGCTCCCCCGGGTCAGTGTCTCGGCGCCTCATCAGAAACCCGGACCCCACTATGTAAGTGGCGTGCCCGCGGGGCCCAGGGGGCGTACATAGATGTACGTACCTGGTCCAGTGGGGCGGGGGTAGCAAGGATTCAGCTACCTGTGAAACTACAATTTTAGAAATTTGGTTCTGAATTTCGTATCTACGTATTCCGATGCATTTTGTATTTTCTCACTGCCGGTTATAGTTTTATCATGTGAACTAGTAAACTAAAAAAGATACCCACTCACCCTTATAATAGAAATTGACGCAAAAAAAGAGCTCTCAGAGCCTCGCTAAACTTCAGTATCCCGCCAAAATTAAAATTAAACTTCAAACATGTAAATAACCATTCGGTCGCATAGGAAAGTAGTAATTTTTTGTATACTTAAAAAATATTCCTAACAAATTCGGTAGCCACGGAGGTCTGGCGTGGTTGCTGCAGGGGCCGCTGGGAAAATGGTCCAGGAGGAAACGTCCGGTAGTGTGCGGGCCGGGCGGAGGTCATGTACAATGTTTGTGTACAGGAGTCTTGTAGTGACGCACCGACCTTAACCGTTGAGTAGTGTGGGGCTCGATCCAATATATATAGTCGACTATAATAATTTAGTGGATTAAACTTGTGAACGATCAGAAATCAAAATAAATTTAAAAAAATAACGAAAAAGAGTATCTTAAGTTAATAAAAGCTAATGAATTATAAATAAAATATAAATTACACTGCCCTATTAGCGATTGAATGTTTATCGCCTTCTTTAAATAACATTTAAAAATAATGTTATCAGTTGGAGTACGGAGTGGAGCCTGATTCATTGAAATATGCCCCGGAGCCGCCCCCCTACGTGCAATGTGAAACTACACCCTCTCTAGCCATGGACTCCATACGGTAACTGTACAGAAGCTGTTGCCACTACACTGTGTTTATTTGTATACAGACAACAACATATTAAAAATAAATAATAGATAAAAGTAATTAAAGTTAAAAATAGTAAATAGTTAAAAGCGATATAACTAATTTTCTCTAACCACTCCCTATTATTTTCTAATGAAATACGTACTCGACAAATGTTCACGATTGACTTCCACGGTGAAGGAATAACATCGTGTAATAAAAATGAAACCCGCAAAATTATAATTTGCGTAATTGCTGGTGGTAGGACCTCTTGTGAATCCGCGAGGGTAGGTACCACCACCCTGCCTATTTCTGCCGTGAAGCAGTAACGCGTTTTGGTTTGAAGGGTGGTAACTATACTGAGACCTTAGAACTTATATCTCAAGATGGGTGGTGCATTTACGTTGTAAATGTCTATGGGCTCCAGTAACCACTTAACACCAGGTGGGCTGTGAGCTCGTCCACCCATCTAGCAATAAATAAATAAAAAACAAAAAAAACTAGTTTTTTTTTTAGCAAATCAAAAATACTTAGAACGGAATAAAATATAAATGTTTTAATTGAACCACACAACGCAACAAGAGAAACTTCAAATTGTAACATTTAGCCGTACTGCATGCGCGTATTTTTAGAAACGTACAGTTTGTTAGAATGTAAATAAGAAATTGATAAATGTATTACATGATAATATATAATATCCGGTCGCGTGTCAGGTACATGTACCTCGGAGGAGGGTTGAGGCCGGCTCGCTGGCGGGGGTGCGCGCGCTGCGGGGGGAGGGCGCTGGCCGCCGCGCTGCCCGCCAGGCACCCGGCGCACAGGGCCTTCGACGCTCGCTTCGTCTCCAGCTGCAGGTCGGTCTACGTCCACTACTAGAAGAGCTCTTGACCTCGGGGAGTCGCCGCCCCCTGAGCGAACCAACCCTCGTGTCATGAAAGTTTAAACCCCGTTGACCAACTTTTACTGTTTTCAGATGCGGAGGAAAGTGGACGCTGTTCACAAATACTGAAATGAATTCAAACGATAAATAAACTTGCAAGTGAATGTGATAAATAATAAAATGAAATAACGTTTAAGTGTTGTTGTTTAGCTTTATTTTCTTAAAACGCTCGTTAGCGAACTGTGAACTTCTCATGATGTATACAACTTCATATTATCCGGTTGACTGTGTTCCGTGGGGCTCTCCATGGCGATTGGAACGTGACGCAGAAGGCGGCTGTTGTTATCGTTTCCGCCCCTGACTGCTTCCCGACTCTCGCATTAGACGCCTTCAGCTCTAGCACTAAGAGCAGGCTTAGGGACTTGTAACCGTATTCGTTGAAATAGGCGAAGAGTTCGACGTGCAACCTAAGCCATACGTCAGCCTGCTGAGTTTCTCAATGGATCTTGTTAGCGAATGCGAGCAATGGAGCGAAGCAGCTGCCCTTGGGTCGTTAGGTCTCCTCACGGAGGCGCCTGGGCAACTTAGCAAATTCCATTCCTCCTGGTAAAACTGAAAAGGCCTCCAGGCTATCAGTAAGAGAAGGATTAGGTTAACTTTCAGGAAGTCTGCGCCAATAACATCGTGCATTTAAGTCGGAGTCGCAAAAAAATCTATGAAATTATGTAATTACTGGTAGGTACCACTAACATGCGTATTGTTGCTGCGAAGCAGGACTGCATTCCAAGAGAGAGGGACAGCCTCTATAGTATACAATTAAGATTTAGAGCTCATGTCTCACCGCTTACCACCGCGCACCAGGTGGACGTGGGCTTCTTTAATCATCAAAGTAATAAAATAAAGAGCCTGAAAGCTAATTGTAAGCAATTGAATTTCACACCTATGCACGAAGTGTTTTATCCCGGTTGAGACTGTAATGTAGCACTACCATTCTGTGCTGAGCATTTCTAACTCGTTATGTTTGTCAAAATTCTACGAATCTATCTACGAAAATTCTACGAAGATCGATCTACGACACGATTGATCGAAGTTTTTTATGAGTCTAATCGGGAAATCTTCTGCTTTGTCTCAACCAATTAAAATTCCTAATTCCCGATAATATGTACGGCACGTCACTAACAATAAGAAACAGATTCTAAAGTGTATGTATTTTTTAAATCTAGTTTAAGATGCATGGGCTTCTAGTGATTGAGGTTCACTGTGAACTACAGAGACAACCAATATACAATTCTTGTCTATTTTTGCTGCACAATCACTTAGTATTTGGGTTCTAAAAATTGACTTAATACAATATAATTGAGACCAACACTACATTAATTCATATCTAGTGCTATAAAAACCAAGCTCGCCATAATTAGCATTATCACATTTATGAAATACTATTTAATGAAAATAAATATCAAATACTTAAAGCATTTCACACAACTTCATCGATCGCACCCTAATGATACATGGTAATAATTTTGTAGCAGGTAACTAATTTAAAATTTCCAAACTTTTTGTAACTTTTCCTGTAAATATGTATTTGCACATAGCAATTTTTATTTAACTGAATTAGATGACGATAAAACAGAATTTCAGAGATAAAACAGTTTGTCGACTAGTTCTGATTTAGTCGATGGAGTTAACGGCTCGACTCATTGTCTACGCACTGTGCATTGAATGCAAGCCCTAGTGATTCGTTAGAGAAAATCATTGAAAGGAGTGCATCGCTGCGATTGCGTTATTGAATTCGAAACCTATAGTAAATTGATTATATTAAAACTAGTAAAAGCTACTATTTCACATTAGTGATTCTTAAATTCATTCTAGTTACATAAATGGCAGACAAAAAAGGTATTTATACGTAATTTTTATTAAACCCTTTGTCTCAATTTCTATACAACTTTGACATCTGTAACGTCATTTCAAGGCCTAGAATTAATTGTTTTTGCTGACAAATACATTATTTTAATCACAGAAAAGTAAAAAGATCTGGTAATGCATTCAATTGTATGTTTCATTCTCAACAGAATGTAAAGTTGTAGATCTTACACTAGATCGATCGACCTGAAATCCAAGATGGTCGCTTTATTCAATTGAGACATTCCTTGAGAATGACCAAAATTGAGAAGGACCAAATAAAGTTGTCGTAGTCTTTAAAACAGATTTAACAACATGCAGGTTAAAACGTGCCTACTATGTCATATAAACTTTCTGTTTATCTGGTTAATATTTCAGAAATTGTCAAACGAGCATACCCTCAAATATAATGTTAAAAAATACGTGCCTATTAAAATTGAGAGTGAAACGGACCAGGTATTATTAAAATTAATATTGCCTAATTGCTGACTAAGCCTTCAGAATCAAATAATATTTCCAAACGATATCATTTATTTTAACATAAAAAGCAGTATGCAAATAATATTTATGAAGTCTAATGATTTTTGCACAACGAAATTACAAAAATCGGCCTTGAAATGTTTACAAATGTTGAACAGTTATTATCAGAGCTTTGTAGTTTGAGATTCTTAAAATATTTATATCAAAACACGGCCACATGAATCATAATAATAAATCTTCTTTACTAATTCAAAATCAAAAGAGTAAGGTTTTTAAAGAATAACTAATTTTTTATTTTAATGAAAAAGTCCGGTAATGTTCAAATACGATGTTTTTTATTTGGCTGTGTACAATAAAATAATAGTGTTTAAGAAAATACAAACAATATTATTAGCCACTGAGTTCAGTGGCTACAACTACAAGGTTCAGTCGTGATGTATTTATCGGATTGTTAGGGCAAAACTGTCTGATAGTAGTTCATTAAAACAGCAAAATATAATAATTTTTATATAATGATATTTTTATATTATTATATAAAAAAATGTATATAATAATTCCTTTTTTTAGTAATAAATTTTAAATGAAACCATACTGAAATTAAACCAATTAAAATTTTGTAAGAAGAACATTTCTGTATTTTAATACCTAGTTTATTTTAGTAAAGACTAAATCAAAATTCATAATATATCTACTATTTAAATTAGTAAAAAAAAACATAAAAACTTTATATTTATATCGTAAGTCGGATTAGCTGTCCCTCTCTTGTAACAGTTTTGCCCTAGATCCGAAGTGTAACAGATGTTAATCCCCCGCCCCCCTCCCAGCGGCCGCCCCCCCTTCACAGGAGCCGTGCCGCCACCGCAGTCGCCGCGCGGCCGTCGACTAGTCATGACGTAATGATCAAATAGAATTTTCTTTTTTCTTTTCATTTTTTTAATGGAAATTTAGAGAAATTATATATATGATATGTGCGTAACGGCGTGTGGACGATCGTATGTGTTTATTGATTGTAACTTGTGCAAATGGTGGATTTTTGAAAAGGACAATATATGACACTAAAAATCATATTTAAGTGTTTTAGTAAAATAATTTTTCTACAAAGCCAATAATATTAAGAAATCCACCATTTGTTATTTAATGGAGTCAAGGAAAGTGAAAATGCTCAATTTAAATCCTTTGATCAAACAAGTTTCTTCCAATAGAATCTGTTCAAGTTTGAATTGTAACCCAGGAGCATGCCTAATAGGCATGATTTCTATTGCCTAATGAGTAAATGAGGACATGGTTACCTCATCATATCAATTGGTACCCAGTGCCCATAGACATGAATGCTGCTACCCACCTTGAGACATTGTATTGTAAAACAGTTGTCCCACTCTTCAAATTCTGATTTCGTCGTGGCCTAACAGATAAGACGTCTGGTGCATGCATACGTGTTGAGCGAAGCACCGGTGTTCGAATCTCAGGCGGGTACCAATTTTTCTACTGAAATACGTACTCAACGATTGAGTTCACGATTGACTTCCAAGGTGAAGGAATAACAGCGTGTAATAAAAATCAAACCCGCAAAATTATGATTTGCGTAATTACTGGTGGTTGGACCTCTTGTGAGTCCGCGCAGGTGGGTACCACCACCCTGCCTAATTCTGCCGTGAAGCAGTAATGCATTTCGGTTTGAAGGGTGGGGCAGCCGTTCTAACTATACTGAGACCTTAGAACTTATATCTTATGGTGGGTGGCGCATTTACGTTGTAGATGTCTATGGGCTCCAGTAACCACTTAACACCAGGTGGGCTGTGAACTCGTCCACCCATCTAAGCAATAAAAAAAATCTGAACGCTTTGAAGTAGAATGGTTGTACCCACCCATGTCATCTCACATGATGGCCAAGTAAAATATTATCAAAAATCCTATTAACTTTGTTGGAACTTTAAAACATAAATATATCTTGAAACTCCATCACCCTCAGTCTAGAAACAACAAAAAGTCATTTTCACTTCCCAGACTCTTTAGTTAACCACATCATATTAAAAAATAAGTTGTAATTTAAGTGATTTTTGTCTTTTGAAAAAAAATTACAATGGAAGCAATTAGAAATTCAAAAAGTTGAACAGGTTATTATTTTACAAAAGACAAAATGATGTTTTTCATTAAATGGCTAATATTTTATAACANTCAGTCTAGAAACAACAAAAAGTCATTTTCACTTCCCAGACTCTTTAGTTAACCACATCATATTAAAAAATAAGTTGTAATTTAAGTGATTTTTGTCTTTTGAAAAAAAATTACAATGGAAGCAATTAGAAATTCAAAAAGTTGAACAGGTTATTATTTTACAAAAGACAAAATGATGTTTTTCATTAAATGGCTAATATTTTATAACAATTTATTTCTTCAAAATTAATTTTGTTGACAGCTTATTTTTTATTATACCTTTTTCTGTTTTTATTTTATTTAACCTATTTATGATATTTACTGGTACTAAGTAAAGTTTATGAAATCTATCTACAATCCACTAGTAACCAGTAAATGTTATATTACTAATTAATTTTGCTAGTTTTGCACTTACATTAAACAAGCAGGTCTCGTAAGTTTATTTGAACAAAAAAAAAACTATATGCGATGCCTTCTTGTTGGGACATCTTGATTATTTTCTTTTTTTTTTCTTTTATTACAAAGTTAATTGAGGTGTCAATGTTTGTTTTTGTTTTTTCGTACATAGTTTTATAAGCTAATTACTTAGTGGATATTTAATTAATAAAAAAGTTGATGATCTGAAAAAACATATTCTGAAGTAAAATGTTCAGTTCCCTCTCTTAGCGAACATTCCAGTTTATGCTAACTAGCAAAAGTATTAATTTTCTTGATTTTAAGTAGAACCATATTTATAGTGTTGTGTTATTTCCATCAATGACAGTTGCTGACCACCAAACAGTAATATTCCCTGCCACACTCTAACTCACATTTTTGTTTCTCACACACTCCTTTCCAAATGGAGCATCCAAAACTTGAATTTTATAGAGAGTATGAGAAATATATTTTTCACATCATTGATTTTATAGGAAACTAAAGCTATACAATTATTAAGGCCTTATTAATGAATTTAGTACAAGACTATTTACAGCATTTTGGTTTTTAAATTGATTGCTTCAATCAGTTAAAACAGACAAAATATGATAAATGTATAAATAATATGGTATAAATATGTTTCATAATAAGGCCATTATAGTTTATCTCCTTAACAAGTACAAAATTATATACTTCAACTAATCTCAAGATTAGAGGCTATCTAACTTACTTGACTTTTCTTGGTTCATTGAATTTCACAACTTGGAGAATATAATAACATTTTAAAATTATGAAACCTTAAAATGGTCGGACAGTTGTTTGTAATACATTAGGAGCAATTAGAATTTGAATTTTTCGCATCATGGACGTAAGACTAAATGCCTCTGATAATGAGACTTGTATTTTTATATAACTTTGTGCTGAACACAAAAGATGTCATTTATTGAAATAATTACAGATTTGATAAAATGAAATAAATAACATCTTTATCTAACCTAAGAATTTGTGTTTACTAACTTTGAAAGGAAATCTAAATGGAGTCTTGCTTGAAATTTGTTTAGATTTTGTTTGTTTGTTAAAAGTTAAGTTCTAGGAGTGTTGTACGAAAGGTGGTGGTGAACAAACTGACAATAAAGTGTGCTATGATGATTACATGTCATGGTGGTCATGACAGTAACCTTTTGCTGGACCCAGAGATGCATCTGTATTACTTCAGGTTCCAAAGATCCTGAACATCAAAAGTAGTACTCATGGCTGAGTTTACAGCAGCATAGCTTATTTTACAAAGAAGGTCGATCAATCTCACAGCACTCAATAAATAAAAAAATTGAATTACTTATGACATAACAAATATTACAGATCTTATAAATTGAAGCTGGATTTATCTTAAACACAGAGACAAATCATTTTAATATTGTCTCCAGATATAAATTTGGAAGCTAATAGCAATAACACTGGAAAACCACTAATTAATGAAAAACATTACTCCTTTTGCATTTTTACTAAACTAGTCAGATGCCTTAAAATGTCTCTTCTTTCCTTAAGTTAGCTACAACACCATCTCGTAACTGGCATTCCATTAAAACTTATCTGTTTAATTACATGAACATATTGTTTACAGTCCATGGGATACAAAAAGTTTTATTTCCAAATTTTAAGTAAGTAAGACTACGGTCATACTACCAGTTGAACTGTAGGTATCATCCTGTACTAGACATTACAATTTTACTTACAATTTAAAACAGAGTTACTGTTCTATCAAAAATAAAAATGTGATCAACACCTACATTATAACCAATGTAATACATATCCGATACATATTATTGTCAGTTTATTTGTATTTTATCTATGTATATAAGTACACGAATATCAAATTTTAGTTTTCTTGTCGTTCGCGACATAGAAATTAAAATTACAATAACACCCTCAAGTTTTACAATAAAATTTCGAGACGTCGCTAATAATATAACAACAGGTTTGAACATATAATGAACGGGAATGATACAATGTTAGTTTGTGTGTGTTTAGGATATTAAGTAACGAATACAGATTGTTACAACCGAAATAAGCAATATAATTTTGGGATATGAAATAAGCAATATAGATTGGATTTTATGAAATCGATTTATTTATTTTGGCCTGATTTTAAGGCGTAATCCAAATAGCAAAATGAGAGCTTGTTTTATTCAAAAAATTCGTTTAACGATTTGTTTCCATAATATTTTCGAAAACCAAAAGTATTGAAAGCAGCGCTGCGTAATCTGTATTCGCCTCTTGTCTGTGGTGTGGCATTTTGTACCACAGACTGTGCATGCTAAAATAGGCTTTAACAGAAGGACAGGGAAGTATGGCAATTGTGAAAACATACATTCATTTCATTAGGCACATTAGAATTAAATGTTCAGTTTAGTTTTGTAACATAACCTTTTTAATACAAGTCGTAATTATGGTTATTTCATTATACGTAAACGCTTGAAGTGATATGACCTGATCTAGCCAGTTCAAACTGAATTTGCAAACATTAATCCTAAACAGTCGATCTAGTTAATTAAAACAACACAGTACTTATTGCATCTTGCGTGTTTCAGGCAAAATTACTCTCAAATAAAGTTCTTTAAAATTTCAATTCAGTTTCTTACTATTTATTCTACTTCATTCTTTTTATCTTATAAGAAGGAAAACTGAAGCGTTTGCGAATAAGGAATACAAAAGTCGCTAACTCCTACCCTCAGTTGTTGATCACCCGTTTAGTTTTGTGTTGCTAAGGCAAGGAATACCAGGATTTGTGGTAGAATTAAAAAGAAAATGCTGTTACGAACTGTTTACGAGCATGACATTCCCGGCCGGGTAGACAGGGTCCAATATTGTTTGCGGCATGTTCTTTTATTTGTGTTGTGTAGCGTTGCATGCTTCTGTGTCCTTCATAACGCACTTATATCATAATTTTTTGTGTAGTTTTTTATTTTATTTTTACGCTTTACCGCATTCTCAAAACGCTTTCGAAGTTTGAACGGCAAAATTACCGACCTAAAATTTTGGTAATTTTTTTAATCAAACGACGAATCTTGGTACGCGACACAATGAGATAGTCGTTAGCTGTAATAATGTTAATGGAAATTAAAATTTTAAGTGTATGTTGATGCTATCTTACAACGTAAACGGATTTTGAATTTGGGAGACTTGCCGTGTACCTAGATCACTACACAGATCAGATCACTGGATCTTTGATGAGTTTCAACACTCCGTGTATGGTACAGGATGTGAAATATCCCAGCCAGTGAGAACCAAATACTTATAAGCGATTCGAAATGCAGTTTTAAAACCGCGATGGTCGCGCAACAAACTCGAACCTTGCTATTTTCCAAAAAAATGTACGTTCACACGCGATATTGGCAAAATATTAAATCAGTACAAAAATTGAGGATCACTTAAAGTAGAAGAAAGAGGTGCACGTCAGCAAGCACGCGTGTCGGCTCTATCCATGCGGTAGACTGTTGAGGCTTTGACATATCGAGTGTTATTGGTTCTTTTCTGAATTTCACTTTTCATATTTAGTAAATTTTAACAATAAACCAAATAGAACGCATTTGTCTTACTCTCTGGTGCTGTATATAAGAACTTGCAGTCGTTTCACATAGAGTGGCGACTATATTTCTGTCTACCCACAAGAGAATAAAGTCACCTTAATCTCCCAATTTCAAAATCTCACACAATATTTTAAAATGTTTTAAATGTAAATGATGATTCTTCTGTGTGATTGTTATTTTAAGCAATTTAATAATGAAGAACGCATGGTCACGTTGGCTTACGCACTGTCTTTTAATCTTTATAATAATAAAATGCTCAGAAAAATAACATACACTTGTTTGTTGTAAGACACTTATAATCGTACAATTCGATCGCTGGTTTGATATGTGCGCGTGTTAGACTGATCAGAGTTCGGCCACCTTATACTAAAATTAATTTCAATTTTGTTTATAACTTGGCGTGTATGTTAACTCTTAATTGTGAGTGTTCCTGAGCCGTCGTGATCATGTTAAATGAATTGCATCTGTAAATAACTTTGGTAGAAGACCAGCACATTGATCAGTGTTGTCTAAACCGATAAAATCTACCAAATTGTATTACTTACTATCACTGGATCCGTTAAAAAGGTCTTTCAAACAATGCTCTTCGTTTTTTTTTTTTGTTTTTACAAAGAAAGTAAAGTCCTTTTTGTCTGATCCAAAGCATTGTCACTCCACTAATAAGTTTTTCAAAACACAGCTGTTTGTTTCAGTTTTCTTTTCCATCCCAATAATATCTATGTTTCGAAAAACTACCGTCGCGGATCCGACTTAGATTGACAGTTTTGACAGTTGTCAAATTGATTGTCTAGATCGCGTCAAAATTCAATTTAAGTTCAGTCCGTGAATGTTAATCGTGCAGTGTGACAAACGCGACGAGGGATTTTCAAAAGTGACTGAAGAAAAAATAAGAATTGAAATGTTTAAAATTGAATTGTAAAGTATTTATAACGCGGTGTCACGCAGCGCGGTCGGCATACAGTGGTCGCGTTGTATGGGCATCGCTTGTCGTTAACACTGACGTCGGTGGCGGGTCGCGCAGACGAAACGATACTTAGTAAATAATCTTAAACCCATTATGTCAGTCATAAAAATAAATCAGATATAATTCGTTTCCGCATTGGCCGTGTTGGGATTTAGACCCATAAGAAAGCTTAGTTCAGAATGTTGTGAAATCAGGGTTATAAACTTCAACATGGCGCCACCGTCACGTCAAGCGTGAATGTAAGGGCTTGGGTTGGGCGCGGCTCATTCGGCGTCCGACCGTCGAAGCATTCGCACCGCTACCGCAGACTCAAATGAGGTTTTGATCTACATATAATTTACAATTTGATGAACTCTGTAATTCAGCAATGTTACCCAGCTCGCTGTGTTTGAACGTTTGATGTTACGCATTACTGAATTATGTGTACTAAATGTTTTATTTCTCATCCTGGTTAGTTGATCGAATTGTTACGTGTGTAGGGAGCATTAGCTTGTGTGCTCGCCCACTGAACTAGCTGCAACATTAGCCGCTCACTGTCCGTGCCGCCAGAGCCATAATGACAATCAAAACCTCATTTCCCAACGGTACTGTACCACATGCAATGAACGCAACTATAACTTTTGCTGGTCGCAATACGCGGGTAGTGAACCGTAATTGGAATGCGAAGGTTATTGTTGCGGTCAGTGCGGTGCGGGGGCTCGCAGGTAACGGTCGGGTTGCACTGCGCGATTTTGAAGTGCCAGTTGTTCCAGTGACCCCGCCACTCGGCGCATACCCTCAACCGCAACCGCCGCAGGGACCGTTCCTGCCGGCGCCGCCCCACCAGGCCGCACCGCAGTATGGAGGTAAGAACGGACGCCGACATACTAGCACTACATGTTCAGAACGCTTCTCGTATACATGCGACTGTTAAACATTTTTATATAAAACTAGCAGACCCGGCCACACGTTGCTGTGGCTAAGGTTTTTGTTTCTAAATAACACGCGGTCGGTTATGCTAATACAAAAAATTGACAAAGTAAGGACAATTGGATTTCACTGTATTGCGTTTTCTACGAAATAAATTTCACTTATACTTTAGCCTCAGCAACACGTAGTGCATATGCCATTAAATTGTAGTTTATGTAAAACGTTGGTATTTTTAACACAGCGCCATCTGTTTTAGACTTATGAAACTTACAATTAATAACAACATAATAAATCATTTTATTGTTAATTAATAAACATTGCGACCATTAATCGAAATAAGAACCATCCTATCTTTCAAGTTGGATCAAACTGCACGCGGTGTGCAAATTTAATTTAAAATCGGTTAAGTAGTTTAGGAGTCCATCGCGGACAAACAACGTGACACGTGATTTATATATATTAAGATTATGTAGGCAATTAATAGAAAAAAAATAGCATTGAATAAGTAGTTCATATTACTAAATAAAGCTTGTTTATAGTATAGAATTAGTCTTAGAGATAGTGTAATGAAAGTATGAAAATAAAGTGTTGAAATAAACATCGTAGTGGCGGGTTTTCCAGTGGCGGGCGGCTCCCCGTACGGCGTGACGTTCGGGGGCGCGGGCGCGGGGGCCGGGGGGGTGTACGCGCCCCCGCCCTACGAGCAGCTGCAGCACCACCAGGCCATCCCGGCCCTTAGCCAGCAGCTACCGGTAACCACGCTTTGTACTCTTTGTTTTATATTAGGCAGTCAACATGAAAGAAGAGCGCACGCGGCAGAGATGCGAATGTTGTGATGGATGTGAGGAGTGACAAGAATGGACAAGATAAGGAATGAGTATATCAGAGGAAGTTTGAAAGTAGCCCCGGTAAGCAACGAATTAAAGAGCGGACGGTTAGCGTGGTATGGACATGTGATGCGTAGAGAGGAGATGTATGGAAATGGTAATGCAAGGTAGTGGGGGAAGAAGTCGACCGAAGAAGACACGGATGGAGTGTGTGAATGACGATATGAGAGAAAGAGGAGTGAGTGTTGAGCTGTCGGCTGATAGAAGAAAATGGAAGAGAAAAATTAGCAGTGCCGACCTTACCTAGTGGGATAAGGTGGAGGCAAAGAAAAAGAAGAAAAAGGTTGCGTTCCGTGGCGCTCCTAGAAGCAGTCTGTTTGATGTTGAATCAGTATTTAAATAAAATCCAACTTCAAGTAGATTGTCCAGCCGAACACACTACGAACAGACCCCCTCCCCTTAATGTCCCCCCAGCAGCATCCCACCCCTGCCTTACGTGGCAGGGAGCTTCTGCCCGGGTAGTGGGGTTCGCCCCGAGAACCTTTGCATGCCCCCGTAAGGGGGTACGATGACCCCGATTGAGATTGAGAAGTAGATTTTTTGAATTAGAATTGTCTGTGTCGTCAGATGTACAGCCCAGCGGCGGCAATGTATGCGGCGGCGGCGGCAGGCTACCCCGGGTACATCGGCTACCCCGTGCAGTACTACCCGTACTACCCGGCGGTGCAACCCTCCATCCAGCCGCTTCGCCCCACCATCATGATACCGGTAACTATCCCCACACGCGGCTGCGGATGGCGACGTCTGCTTGTGCACAAAACCAGCCCCGCGGAAGCAGCCTTCTTTGAATCTTTGAACAATAATTTATAATTTCACCACAAATCGCTGAGAGTGGCGGAGGCCTGCGGAATGGTGTCCGGTGCACCGTATCACGCGTCGCACACATTATTAAAATCGGTCCTTTCATTCAGGTGGATTCCAGGGACACACCTACAGAAGAATTATATTAATTTAAAAGTTTACTTAGTCTAAAAAATAAATTTTTTGATGAACTTTTATAAATGCAGAGTGGTAATGCTTCCCTACAGAACGGGTTCGAAGCCGGAGGTCGGTTCGAGGGTCTGGCGCAGAGCCTCCTCCCCCCCGCGCCCCCCGGCGTGCCCCCCTCCCCCGCGCACCTCGCCGCGCTGCAGCCGCACCAAGTGCTGTGAGTATACCGCGCGCCGAGGAGCCGGAGCCGTGTGCCGACCGTATGAACTATCAGAACTGCTTCTTTATGGAAAGCTTGAGAAATTAATTTAATTCTATACGTATGTCCTCCAGTGGCGGCTGACCACCAGCTGCCAAGCGGACTGCCAATGTGCCATTGCAACTAAGATGATGATATTGTTTCAGGTGGCGCTAGTTCTAGATGGTAGATCGTAATATTGTCCCCGGGCCGCGCCGGACGGTCGCGCCCCCCGCTGCCTGCACAGCCCGCCTCGAGAAGACCCGATTAATTATTGTACACAATCTACACGCAGGGCGGCGCCCCCGGCGTGCGCCACTGTATCTGCGGACTCACCGGAAGTAATAGTGGGCGTGTGAGGTCGCCGCACTCCCTGTAACAGCCATAAAGTTGGATGTTGGTGTGCGAGCGGCGCGCGGGCCGCAACACACTGTCGATCAAAGCTATCCAGAATAAACTATTTCATGAATAAAACGTAAATTCTCAGGAATGCTCACCGCATCACTATCACAACGGCTCACAGATGTGTACTCAGTACTGTCGACCGCGCGGCTTAGACTCTAGTAGAGTTGCGTCACATCCTTCTTTATGGTCTGAAGACTTGCGGCGCCCCCGGGGGGTGGCGGGGCGGCGGCTCGGCCGTGCAGTACTACGGCGGATTTAACTTAGATTTATTAATCATTATCTGTACTGTGTCCCCGCACCCCCGCACCCCCGGCCCCCGCGCCGCGCTCCAAATGTCTCAATAAGGCATAAACGTGGAGCGTGTCAAGTGACCTCGGCCGGCAGCCTCTTAGCATTGTTATTGACATTGCCAAGGGGTTGTAGTGGCGGTGCCGGCGGCGCGGAGCGAAAACTCAGGCAGTACATTTAATTACAAATTTCATTTATTAATAAAAAATATATAATTATTAGGAATGGGGAATTAGCCATTTAGAAAACAGCAAAGTAATCGGCTTTGTTAACGTAAAACTATTTATTGAACCGCACGCGGGAATCGCGGTCCCTCCGCGGGCTCCTCACTGACTCGACCGGCTCCAAACTCGTACAGAAACGAATCCCCAGGATCAACGTAGTGTTGAAACAAACCATTTTGTTATTATAATTCAGTAAAATAGAAAGTTGTCCACTTTCAACATATTTCGTCTCTAGTGATGATACATATATTTTTTATTAATAAAACGCAAAAATGGAATATATAGTTATAAATTAATAAATATATTTAAAAAAGATGGTTGTGCGTGGCGTGCGAGTGAGAGAGAATGTTTTATTATTATTATTATTTTCGTTTTGTTGTCAAAACGTTTCTTGCGGAATGACAAACGCATCGAAAGACGTTCGAATCTCGTTATACTTGACATCTGTCAGCCGTGACGTCTGTCAAACCTGACAGCTCTGTGATTATTGCCCTTTGCGCTTGTGCAGCCGACGCGGGGACGGGCCCACGGACCGCAGCGGAAATGGATTTTTTTTGACGAATGAAATAAATTGGAATAAAATGTTGAAGATCGCTAATAAACAAAATTAACTTCGATTCGCAATTGACGATCCCTTTAATGACAATTTGCCAAAAGAGTCGCGCGCGGACAAGTCTACGTCGTCAAAGAATAAAAAAAAAACTATAGAAAATTGTTCACTAAATTTTTGGAAAATTAATAAACTTTGTATTAGCAATGAAATAACATATCTAGTAGCTAGAGCGGCTCAGTGGCCGAGTCCTGGCGGGACCGGGCCGCTCTCGCACGGAGTCCGGGCTCTGTGCTTTGAAACTAAGGAAAGTGCTCATGAGTGCTCACGTGTCACTGTTTCGATAGAAACATCTGTCGTGTTTGTGATCAAAGATCTAGTTACGGAAAACTATTCGAATAAGTGAATCTCATTATTTTGTAACTATTTGATTTGAAAAACTATATTTTGTTTGTAACCCCCTGGTTGTGGCGAGCCCCCCTATTGATTTCAACTAAAAAGCAGCCATGATTGTGTTCAGTAGTACTCTCGTGTGCTCACAGCGGCCGGCCGCTCCGCATTGCGCGGCGGGTAACTCTGACAACAGCAGCTGTTGCGAGGTCCCGTGTACTTAGTGTTTATTTTGTTATGAAGTCGGCGATAGTCCTTGATTAAAAGTTCACGTCGGATGCCAAATCGTCTTTTCGCTCGCATTAAAAGTGTACAATTTCCAAAAATATTCGAAATTGAGTTAATATCCGGAATCATTTGGTATCACCAGTATTTTTCTCATAAATACTGTCAAAAGACCGTGGTTTAGCTTTATTTTTGTTTTTTGTTTACCCATGTTTTGACTACTATTAACCAAATTAATACATAACTTTATCTTACTTTAATAGACAGATGATGTAACTGGTATAAAATAAAAAAGAAATTTTGCAAAGATGAATAATATTAAAAATACCACATGTTGAATCTTTAAAAGATTCTCCTGTAAAATTAGTAAGTTTTGAGATTATACAGTTTTAATGCGAAATATAGGAACATATGACGTCACGAACCGACTGACAGTTTACCCGGGATCGCAACTAATATTGAATGTGTGACGTTTGAGCCCAGCCGGGACGGTTGCTTAGTGTTGGAGGGGTCCGTCTCGCGGCCTGCACGCGTTGTATGTAGTCTTGTTGTTAAATGTATATTTTTATGTTCCTTTAATTGCGTATATGTACCATGAAATCATGTAAACGGAAGTACACCAGTTGAAGTTAATTATTTCTTGTGTCCTGTAAATTGGATTCAATTGTAAATCTAATTTCATTTCTCGGCGGCGCGTCCTGACGATGCGGCGCGCCCTCCGAGCGATGACTGATGACTTGTGATTTAATGTACATTAGTATAACATTCCGTTTGAATTATGCAACTGAATCTCATCGAGAACTCCATATCAAGATGTATCTAAGTGACCTTCGTCGTTAATAAAGTGAATAATGTTCTTCAGTTAAGATTCAAATGCGCGTATTGAACATTACATCAATTGAATATGCAATTTCAAAAAGGGCACATCTCTGAAAATGTAAAATGTTCAGGAAATGAAAAATATTGATTATTTTCTAAAGCAGTGTAAAATTTAAAATATCAATTTTTGAGATATTTTTTTGTGTTAATTAGCAATTGAAAACGTATTTGACAAAATATGCGGCATGTGCCCCTTTCGAAATTGCATATTCAATTCTAACTGCGATCCTCACGAATGCATTTATAGATTAATAAAATTTTATCATCTATCAAGGATCCAAAAACTTTGATATTATGACAATTTTGTTATGAAATATTGTAAGCGCTGACTTGATGCGCGTTCAAACTATGAAATAGTATCAAATGTATATTGTAGGTGGTCGGCAGGCGACTGCAAACGGATTCTTCATGTAATTGAATACAGTTTGTAAGTGAAAATGCGTTTTGCTCAATCGCGGAGTATGGGTACAGTCGCGTGCAATATATAGCATAATTATTATTTTGTTTCCAATAAAATCAGATGAAAATACAAATGTTTGTTTCACTCATTGTTGATGTTTCCGAGGCTTGTTGATTGATTGATTGTTGATGTTTTTTTTATTTTTTACTAGCTGACCCGGCAGACTTCGTAGTGCCTCAATCGATAAATAAAAGACCTAAACTTTTGTATAAAATAAACTTTAACCAAACAAAAGGAAAAATAAAATTATTATTTTTATTTAATTCCGAGCATTTTCATATATATTTATTTATCTTTTAAACCTTATCTGGACTTCCACAAATAATTTAAGACCAAAATTAGTCAAATCGTTTCAGCAGTTCTCGAGTTTTAGCGAGACTACCGAACAGCAATTCATTTTTATATATAGAGATTGCTTAGATGGGTAGACGAATTCACAGCCCACCTGGTGTTAAGTAGTTACCGGAACCCACGGACATCTACAACGTAAATACGCCACCCACCTTGAGATATAAGCTCTAAGGTCTCAGTATAGTTACAACGGCTGCCCCACCCTTCAAGCCGAAACGCATTACTGCTTCACGGCAAAAATAGGCAGGGCGGTGGTACCTAGCCGTGCGGACTCACAAGTGATCCTACCACCAGTAAAAAAAACAGTTCGGCGTTGAGACGAACACAGAGTCACGATCACAGAGCGTCCCTTGGTGAAGAATACTTACCACTGTCACCCGTCAATTGAGGAAGGAGAGAGTCCATGTAGGTAGAAAAATAAAACTCAGAAATAGCAAAATGAATGGCACATTTATATTTAATTAATATTATTCATTTTTATAATTAGACCTTTCTTGTAATTATATCATTTTTATTCTATGCATTTGAATTGTAAAGAAAAATATATCAAATGCTCTATGGTACAGTGTTGGGCTGCTAGTGTTGCCATTATAATAAAACAGAAAAAAAAAACAAAAAAATAATAATAACAAAAGCCTCATTTTGTACAATCTCCAGGATGTAGCGGCGGATGAGTGCCACATTTATTTTATTGACGATTCATAAAAAAAATCTGAGCATCAAAATATTGCGAAAATAAATTACAGATTTACGCGTACAGATTACAAATAATTATAAAAAAAAAAACTCTTATAAGATACGACATACGCAGTCCGCATAGACAACAAATTATAGATAAAAACTTAATTTTACGCTAAAAAATGGAAGAAAGTCAAACTAAAACTACGAACGTTCTGAGAGTGATTACAAGCTATTGTCGGATGCGCGCGGTCCGGCCGGCGGCAGTCCGCGCCCGACGCGCCGTCCGCCGGCCGGATCCGGCCCTAGCAGGTGTCGCTCGCCGTCCGCGCGGCCAACAGACTCCTCAGTGGATTGTCGATCTTAATGCGTTGCAATAAAGAATATATGCATATTTCATACTATACGTCGCATTGACTATTTATTAAATATTGTATAAGAATGTACGAGAGTTATATTTACGCGACATGTGAATATAATTGGATTCAACATGGGTAACAAATAAAGCTCAACCAATAAAGTTTCTAAACTCGATCCATTCGATCGTAAGTGTTCTGCTGCCGCCGGATCAGTTGAGGTTCGTGAGGCCTTCGATTTGACACTCGGAGCCCGCGACACAGTACAGTTGGAGTCCGAGTATAAAATCAAATCACGGAAAAGCAGCCGTTTAAACATTAAATGAAAAAGTAATCTAACAATACAACTTACCGCTATATAATACAGAAACTTATACATTGAACAGAACATCTGCCGCTGCGGCTAACTCACTGAGGTGCGCGGTCCTATACCGATATTGTTTAATTTAAAAAATAATCAAAATATTGACATGTGGGTCCCGCGGCCCCCCCGGTCCCCGCCTGCGACTGGGCTGGGCGCGTATCTTCAGGGGATCATACTCTAAGTCGATCTGATCTCATGTATACATATCATTCTTTGAGTGACTGGGTGAGTGAATAAATCTAGATCACCATGTAACAACAAGAGCCCCCGGGGGCGGCGTGCCTCCCGCCTCCACCCGCGCGATCAACCAATAACACGGCGAGCTATTTAATTTAATTATAATAAAATAAATATTTATCTCAACGACTCTACCGAAGCCGACTGCCAACTTTATACTTTACTCGTTATAACTAAACAACTGGTCCAGTACAAATTGTAATCGTGCGCGGACGTTGCG